CTTTGAGGGTAGATTTGTCGACTCAAAATAAGACAAATATTTCATATAAACATGGGTCCGCAAATCCACCCTATGGGAGGTAGAGGCGTTTGAAGATTTGAAGATGACTTTTGCCAATAACTTTTAACTGCTTTGAAGGAGAGGAATAAGTTATGGGTTAGAGTTTACAGAACCGTTTAGAAATGTTATAAATTTTGAATTTTCACATATTTTTTTTTTTAGTGTACCCCTCCAATTACCTGTATCGGCGACACTGATTTTCAGAAAGAAACCGTTTGCACATTATTCTTAACGCATAGTTGATGTTTACTCGTGTACAAATTTTGACATTTTTATCTTTAGCCGATTTAAAAATAATTAAGAAAAACCATTTGGAAAGTAACAACTTCAACACACTGTGTCTCGAAAACAGGGCGTCTACGATAAAAACTTTACATGAACTACCCCTATTATTTTCCCATGAGGATTCAAAATATTTTTAAAATTGGTTTAATTGGTTTTTTAACAACAAATCTATGTATAAGTTGTTTATCAAAACAATATTGCAAATTTTAATTTAAAAAAAAACAAGCAAAAATTTATGCATTCATTTTACAGTTACCATTTTTTATTGCAATGTAATCTTCTTATTATATTATCTAATTACTTTCGGTGTACTTACTTAGGTAGTGAAGAATGGGTTATTTAAAAATGAGCAGCGTTGGATCCATGCATATCTCTTCCACTCCCTTGTCCTTACTGCCTGTTAAGAAAATTTAGTTTAGTTGTGATTTTAACTGTTAAATTTAACAAGGCATGTACACCACTATAATTTTATTATTACTATTATTATTATTTTTAGACGCTGGCGCTGTAGAAATTGAAATTATTAGAAGTATGATTAGTAAAAAGTAATTTCGTTGTAAGTGATGTAGATTAGGGCCAAATTCAGAGACTTCCCTAAATCTATACTAACCTTTCACTCATCTCAAACTTATGCTTCACTCAACTTAGGGTGCCCTCATGTCATTCTCAATTCTGGTATTCAGAAATGTGTATAAATGAGTCACTAACTTGAGTGTGCATCAAACCACAAATTACTAGATAAGGAAACAGTTGCCTACTCAAATATTACCAAAAATATGTCATCAGTGGAAACCTAATGTCACAGTATTTCTTTATTTTGAATTTGAATAACTGACGTTGAAAATATATACATAATAAGTTACATTTAAATAATAAATAATGAAAATCAAAAGGTCTAATTAATTATCCAGGTAAAAACGATCCTCATATATTCCAAGTAATAATTAGTTAGTAGTTAGTAATATTTAGTTCATTTTCCCTACTATATACTTCATATAGATTAGAATGAGTGACAAGCAATCATTTATGAGGTATGTAACAGAAATAATTTTTAAAAAATAATTATAATTTATATAGCGTTCACGTATAGAATATCCTTTATTGAATACCTGGACTTAATTATTTGTAAAATATACTGCTAGAATATTATGAAACCACAAAATTAATAAATTAGGAACATATAAGCACACGTCAGACACCACTAATATGTCACTAACCTAGCACTCATTTGTGAGGGCAATTTGAGTACGATTTAAGTGACTCATTGAATTAGAATTGTTTATGAATACGATTAGGGTGAGTTTAGTATGAGATAAGTGTGAGCGGAACTTTAGTGAGATCTATGAATTTGGGCCTAAATCTTAAAATAATGCAAAAGTTACCAACTTTCCTGAGATAGGTGGTGTTTCCAATGGTCTTTGGAAACTTACCACCTATCTCTTGCAAACTTGTTGAAAAATTCGCCAACTATTCTGAATTGGACCGTTGAATGAGTGATAAAAAAAGATGTTACAGATTTTCACTTAGGGCCAAATTCAGAGACTTCCCTAAATCTATACTAACCTTTCACTCATCTCAAACTTATGCTTCACTCAACTTAGGGTGCCCTCATGTCATTCTCAATTCTGGTATTCAGAAATGTGTATAAATGAGTCACTAACTTGAGTGTGCATCAAACCACAAATTACTAGATAAGGAAACAGTTGGCTACTCGAATATTACCAAAAATATGTCATCAGTGGAAACCTAATGTCAGTATTTCTTTATTTTGAATTTGAATAACTGACGTTGAAAATATATACACATAATAAGTTATATTTAAATAATAAATAATGAAAATCAAAAGGTTTAAATAATTATCCAGAATACGTATACGAATACGTATAGAATATCTTTTATTGAATACCTGGACTTAATTATTTGTAAAATATACTGCTAGAATATTATGAAACCACAAAATTAATAAATTAGGAACATATAAGCACACGTCAGACACCACTAATATGTCACTAAGTGGTCACTAACCTAGCACTCATTTGTGAGGACAATTTGAGTACGATTTAAGTGACTCATTGAATTAGAATTGTTTATGAATACGATTAGGGTGAGTTTAGTATGAGATAAGTGTGAGCGGAACTTTATCGAGATCTATGAATTTGAGCCTTATAATCTTTAAATTCGTATTTTTCTCTGTACCTTTAAACTTAGTGGAAATACACTTTTGATGTAAAAATAACATCGGCACACAAGAAAATCGAGTGCGAATGTGTGTTTATCTGTCTGATTTTTTTACCTGCCCACCTGTTTGTTTGCTTGTGAGTCTGTATTTATCATCCGCCTGTATTTTCTCTCTGTCCATCTACCTGACATCCTGCCTTTCCACCTGCCTTTTTGTCGGTAATTTTGTCTATCTTTCTGTCTGGCTAAATAACTAAATGTTTCTGTCTGTCTGTTTTTCTGCCACCCTCCGTCAACAGACAAAAGTAGGCAGGTGGGCTTTCGTTATTTTTTTTTCCAATTTTTCGCCTCCTATCCTTACTTTAACTTTAAACGACCTTAAACATGAGGTGATAGCGGTCAACCGACATCGGTTCAGACTCAGTGACCCAAAAAACCCATGAATGAAAATTTTCAGATTTTTTCAACCACCTTTTCTTAGTTTGACCTTCAATTGACCTTGAACCTGACGTGATAGGGCTTAACCAACCTCGGCATCGGAATCAACGACCCCAAAAACCCCTGGGTACCTAGGTAGAGTCCGGTGTTTTTTCAAACTAAATGTTGACATCAAAATCAGTAGCACTGGCGGAGTCTACATCTTTGCACTCGAATTTTTTTGTGTACCGATGAATTAAATGTTTCAAAATATCATTTGAACGTTCTCTGCGCCAAAAATCGATTTATACAAGTTAATATTCGTACTTAAAGGTCTAGGCATTAAATTATCTAAGAACCCACCGTCAAAACCGAAACCGAAATTAAGGTGCGTCTATCCATAGATTCTCGTAATGGGTCCGCCCCCACATAGCCTAGACCGAGAATAAAACGGACAGATCCTAACTAAGGCCACGTCATAACATCCCGAAAAACTCATACTTTGAATGCCATGAAAGCTTTAAAATCCGCTCTAAAATCCGCCGATCTCGACTACTCACCTAAAAAAATTCACGTGCCATTTGATCTCGCCACTCATTTGTGCCATGTAAATTTAGAGGCTGCAAAATGTATATGCAATCCAAAGAACCTGTAATTAGATGCTATTTACTCAACTAGATACTCAAATCACATTTTTTTCTAATATCTAAATTTTATTATATATATTTTTATTTTTAAACGTTTAAATCAATTTGAAGCTGAATAAATAAGCTCGCTGACCTTTGTATTGATTGAGTTCTAAGTTCTAAAAGTAAAAAAATTTGATTTTTTTTTCTTTTGAAATCTCAAAAAAAATTGTCTAAAAATCTTCATAATGCTTTTTGTTTATTTCAATACGGCCATTTTTCACTGAGATACAGTTTTTCGAAAATCACTAAAAGATTAATGAAAATTTGTTGTTCCTTTAATTTTTTCCAGTAATGTACTAATTGTGTTTGTGATAATTCTATATTTGTTTTTTTATGTTTTGTGTTTGATTTCTTTTGGCTAATTAGTTATTATTGAAAATTATTGCCTAGGAAAAACTAACAATTATTTTCTGCTCTTTGAAAAAATGAGGAGAGAATCTTATTGCTTTAAGCACGTTATTCTTCACTGATGTATAGTCCAGACGGTATCTGTTTCAAAGAGTTCCTATTTGGGTGAATCGTATATCCACGGAGATTTTTGGCCTTTTGGCTTTCAAGTATCACTAGAAATGAAAATTTTTCTATGCGCATAAAAGAAAACGTGGGCTTATCTTTTGAAGGCACAATATATTAAAAAAAATCGAAAAATGTTATATTTTTCTTCCTATTTAATTATGTATCTTTTCAAGAGTTCATTTTAGGCGAAAATGGAAGAGAAAAAAATGTTTGTAATTACATTTTTTACAAAATATGACTAGTTACAAATCGAATGAATCATGATTATTATTGTAAAAATCGAAAAAATCGCCAAAAATGAGGTTAAAAAACATTACTAATGTTTAAACAAGCGCCAGAGCTCTCCTAATTGACGGATTCGAATTTTTCAAAAAGCGTTTGAAACCTTGAGAGGAGAGCCCTTCTACTAATTTTCAAGTATATAAAGGCTTTGGTTTTTGCTGTGCAGAATTTTGAAAATTTGCAATTTTTTTTTCAAAATCTAGATTGCAAAATTATTATGCAAAATCTATAGAACCGATTTTGATAAAATTTGGTGTGATGATTCTACATAACATGAAGTTTTCTTGAGCCAAGTATGAAGGTCCTACACACAATTTAAAGACCCCAAAAAAATTCCCTAAAAAGTATTGTTTTTTAACCCCATTTTTGGCGATTATTTCAAATTTTGCAATAATAATCATGATTCAATCGATTTGTAACTAGTCATATTTTGTAAAAAAAAATAATTACAAATATTTTTTTCCTCTTCTATTTTCGCTTAAAATCAACTCTTGAAAAGATACATAATTAAATAGGAAGACAAATATGACATTTTTCGAATTTTTTCAACATATTGTGCCGCCAAAAGTTAAGCCCACGTTTTTTTTTATGCGCATAGAAAAAATTTTAATTTCTAGTGATATTTGAAAGCCAAAAAGCCAAAAATCTCCGTGGATATACGATTCACCCAAACCAAAACAGATACCACCTAATTTAGTAGTATTTTGTACAAATTCGAAAGAAATACTTTTGATGTGATGTGCCAGTTCAATAAAAATTCCATCAGGACCTTTAAAATCTTTAAAAGTACTGCAGGAAGTCGTGGTACTATTAGTATTCAACCGAAGTATTGGCTACAAATATTTCTCTTGCTAAAATAATATGGCAGCGCTGATTAAAGATAATTTCACTGTTAGTTCAAAAGTTGGAAAAGTGTGAAACAAAATCAAATGCATGATTATTCTCATTGATTCGTGTTCATCCAATGTGCCACATGGAAAGAACTTTTTGGAATCAGTCACAAAGGAACAGGAATTTTTTCAGTCGCGGTCCTTTAACTTTGAAATTCACGAGTCTATTGTATCTGTTGAGTATCAAAGATCACCTCAAATGCAAAAGTAACGTCAGTATCACTCCCTGTTCCCTACTTTATTACTACAGTAAAGGGAATGAACTACCAAAGACTCACCAAAATGTTGTTATAACCCGTACATTTCTCCACTAACAACTGCGTAAAATGTAATTCCGTATCCAGAAATTGGGACCTTTAGAATGTATGTATTACCTGAAATATGTAATGAAGAAGTAAATTTTATAGTACCTCAATAATTATTAAAAAAAAAGAACATGTATCATATGAAAATGGGCATGGTGCAAAAATAAACTATAAAGTTAGAACGTTCAACCATGCAGCAATATTTTTTGGTCATCACACCGAGAAACATTATAGAGACCGATACAAATCAGTTCGCGTTTCTGACTCGGGCAGAGATTGAGAAGGAACGCACTCGGCTAGAAGGAATAAGACCGTAGGCGTGTCGATTTGGGACTGGAGCGCTTCCTTTACCGTGTCCAGAACGCATTTGTGGGTGGAACTATTTCAGTCGCAAACTTATTTGTGTCGATCTCCCACTCCCACAAAAAAGTTACAAGAAAAATAGAATTTATGTCAAACTGAATAAACATAAACTTACCGTAATGCGGTTTCTCAGTTTCACTTCGGTAAAAATCAGTTTTCTACATCCATTACTTTTTCAAAACTGTGAGTTGTCGATCTTTTGCTGTTCAGTTCTCTAACCAAAGCGCTGTTGTTTTGAGCCGTAACTAAAATATGAAGAATACTTTCCTGGGCGCTAAATCGTAATTCAATCCCACACGTCAATTGCTCTATCACATCAGGTTTTTGTGATATCCTAACTTAAAAGCGTGCATTTTCCGCTATATTTGTTATATTACATCAAAGTACTACTCTTCTTCAAAATCTATTTCTATTAGTTCGAATACATCACTTGCAATTATTTAGTTTGGCGTATTCATCAATATTCGGAAAGAACCTTAATGTGGGCTCGTTCAAATTGGCTGAAATTGTGGTAACTTGTTGGTTTTGTGTTACTGACCGAAAATCAGTACTTTCCTACTTATAGCAGTCTGAGTCAGTTCTGTTGAAAATGGCTGCAAAATAGTATCACTGACTCAGGCCGCTCTAAGTAGGAAATAATTGATTTTCTGGCCCAACTACTGTGGTGGAAACTTTTGGTCAGTAACACAAAACATTTTAGGATATCTCAGAAACATGATGTGATGGAGCAATCCTGAGATCGGATTCTGATTTAGCGTTTCAAAAACCAATCATTGTTTTTAAGCGGTGAGGGTTAAGTTCCTAGTTAAGTGGGTAGGCTTTCTGTAAATTTGGAATTTGGAAACAGTATAAGTAGAAATTAAGGGTTTTTTCATCAAGTCTTGACCCACTATTTGGCAAACAGACCTGAACTGTTCAATCAATAGATTTAAATAACAGAGTTAAGACTTCTACAAGAATCATTTGATGGCTAGTGTATGTATTACTGTCAACACTAAGAGTGCACGGTCCATATAAAATGAATATTAGTGGAGACGTTTAAAGGAAACTTCGGAAAAACTATCTAGGTTACATTGCGGTTGTTCCTATCACTATTATTGTCGTCATCGTCGTCACGTCGAAGCTTTGACACGTAACCTTTCTGTCGTGCCGGGATATAAGTTCTTTCTGGTACCGAGGCGGTTTGCGATCTGGATCTGGACACCTGCTGTTGAACGGGAACTGATGCGGCATAGGGTGTGGTTCTTGGAGGGACTGAGATCCCGCTCGGTGCAGTGGTTGGTCTCAGACTTTCTGTGAAGAAATAAAAATTATATTAATAAGTACAATTACTGTTATAACGCATATTATCTTAGCAAAACTTTTTTATTGGTCTACTTTTCTCAGAGTAGAAAAATACTTTTTATGTCTCATTCGCACCAAACACATATCCCATGAAATGAAGGAAAACAAACCTAAAATGTTAAAACCGCGAAACTTCATGTTATTTACAATCATAACACCAAATTTCATCAAAATCGGTTTGATAGATTTTGCATAATAATTTTGCAATCCAGATTTTGAAAAAAAGTGTTCAAAATTTTTCACAGCAAAAACCAGGAGCCTTAGATACTTGGAAATTTAATCACATATAGAAGGGCTATCAAGCTTTCAAACGCTTTTTAAAAAATTCGAATCCGTCAATTAAGCGAGCTCTGGCGCCTGTTTAAACATTGGCCGAATTTTTGTACTTATAAACAATTAGAATAACTTTGTGAATATTCAATCAAATCAGAATTTTTAAAGCAGGTTTTAAAAGTTATTGGAAAGACGCTTCTTAAAAAAAAAAACAGATCGATTGATTAATTAATTACGTAGTTATAGCCGATCAAAGTTAACCGTCATTTACACTAAATGTACTGGGACATCCGAGCTCATTTTTCGAAAAATATCTTTGGTAGAAGGAAGAAAAATTTTCATTTCTAGGGATATTTGAAAGCCAAAAAGCCAAAAACCTCCGTGGATATACGATTCACCCAAATATGGACTTTTTGAAACAGATACCGTCTGGACAACTAATATATTTCCGTTTCAGTGTTAACATTTCAATTCTACACAAAGAATCATCAGAGGCGTAGGGAAAGGGTGAAAGTGCTATCATAGCTTCTTCCAATTTTTCAAAATACATATAAGACCTCTTATTTTAAAAAGTGATTCTACAATACCTAACCTACAAATGATTCGAGCAATTTTACAACTTACGTGTATCATCTCCACATCCATAATAAATCATAATAATTTTTCACTGAAATGTGCAACTTAAATGAAAGAAAAAATGGCCACACTTAAATTTTGACAATTTACTGACGTTCGTCCTTCTCTCCATAGCCCACATGAAAAAACGGTAGTATATATAGAGGTATTAAAAATTTAAAGCAGATAAACATTTAAAAAAATTTATTTTTGTTTGCTGGTGAGCCTTTCCAGGTTTTAAAAAGTGTATATTTTTATCAATTGGAGTCCTTGCAGTGAGTAATATTAATAAGTCAACATCTTCACCAACTACAATAGTTAAATTGTTCTATTGCTGTTTCAATTAAGGACATCTGCGTCATTTTGACTAAGGGACTGAGTTTTTTTTGAGTGTATATTCTCAGAATAGTATAGTTTATACATATAAGGGACACAAATAGGCATTTTTACTTGCATTAAGCGCCTGACTATGCATATACGTTGCATATATGTGCATATCATGTAGAAGGTGACTCCTTCAACTTTTAGAATCACGGTATCTCAGGAATGGTGGTTCTTAGAAAAAAAAAGTATAGGAACCATTTTTGTAGATAATTTTTAGATCTATAATTTTTGTCTGAACTACTTTTTTGATAAAACTTACCGTTTTCGAAAAAAATCCAAAAAACCTCAAATTTTGACTTTTGACCCCGAATAACTTTTTTAGCACACATGGGATCGGTGGGTACTTTTGACACTTTATTTCTAATGGTGTACCCAAGGTCTCCACCAAAATTTAGCTCTGTCGGAATTTTTGTAATTTGACCACTATTTTTATGACTAATTTGACCGGACTACGGTTGTAGTTAAAGTATTGTAGATAATACTTGTGGTGACTGGGCTTTTACCGCACATGATTGACTGAAAAAAAAAACAGTCATTAAAACAATATTTAGAATAAGACTCATGTTCAATCAGTCCTCTATTTATTTCAGTTACAGAGAAGAAAAGGGAAGTATATTAAAATTGCTGTCTTCTGGGGACAGGCTGAGGCTGTGCGAAGGGGCATCCTGACCACCCAGGGCGGCTTCTTGGTACGGTGTAAGTACTATTGAAGGGTGGATTAAAGTTCGATGCGTCCAAAGTCTGTACTGGGGACGGTTGGTTGATGTTACGCCGTCTTCTACCGCCACCGCTACCCTGTTCTACCACGGCTTGGAACACATTCTGATCGACACCTTCGGAAGCATCGAATTCGAACTCGAATCTTTCGGAGGGACCCTCGTTCGACATACTCACGGTCTTCGAGCTCAGGTGCAAGATCTGAGGCGCGTCTTCTCGGGGAGAAGCGCACATTTTGGTGTTTATAATAGTTGATTGAGCTTCTTCATTCGTGATGGGATCAGGCTCTTCATATTCCTCCATGGGTAAATCTTGAGGTCCAGTCGCTGAATCCAATTCGTCGCCCCAAATGGGGAGCGGTCGCGCCGCAAGTTTGTTTCCGGGTGCATTCGTTACTATTAGGGGTAGGATTGAGTTCTGCAAGCTGGGTGGTATCACCACAACGTTTACATCCTCGCTGTTCAAAGTACCTTTGGGGATGATTATCGTCCTGTTACGATTTCCCATGATGTCGGTTTGGCTTGGATTACTGGAATTTTTGAAATTTTGGTCGAGTAGTTGAACTAAACTTGTCACGGTTGTCAAAATATTATGTCATGACGTAAGACTGGCACGAGAGAGGGTATACTATAGGATTTCTAGATTACTATTCCGGTCAAAATAGACATTTCAAATAACGAAAATTCCGACAGAGCTAAATTTTGGTGGAGACCTTGGGTACACCATTAGAAATAAAGTGTTAAAAGTCTCCATCGATCCCATTTGTGCTAAAAGAGTTATTCGGGGTCAAAAGTCAAAATTTGAGGTTTTTTGTATTTTTTTTCGAAAACGGTAAGTTTTATCAAAAAAGTAGCCCAGACAAAAATTATAGATCCTAAAATTATTTACAAAAATGGTCCTTATACTTTTTTTAAGAATCACTATTCCTGAGATATCGCGACTCTAATAGTTGAAGGAGTCACCTTCTACATGATATGCACACATTTCCACACCACCTGTGAGGTAGTGTACCTTGACGGTTTTTTTTTAACGTGGTTTCCCCAGTAGGCCTACTCCACGAACTGTTATGACGGAATTTTCAGGGACAATACTCTTTTAACTGTATGATGATTATTGATATTGATATTGGTTATTGACTTTAACTGTAGTTCTGATTTCTTTTGATATTTTAATCTGATTCATACTCTTCGAAGTCGACTTCAACAGTCATGTCTTTTTCGATTTTTTCTTCTTATTCTTCCTCTTCTTCTTGCTGGATGTTTATAAATTGTTTAAATGAAGATGAACCAGCTGTCTCTTCATCGAAATCACATGAATCTTCGTCTGTTGTATTCAATTGGACATTTGAGCAAGACTGGCTTTGGCAATTAGTACACGCTGGAGAACACAGTAACCCTATTCTTCTACAGCCACCAGAGCAGATGGAAGTAAAGTTTGAATCGGTTCCAAAGTATTATCTGTTAATTTCCAACCCCAGTCTTCTGGATTCAGTTGATTGCCTAGCCATGTCTGAACTTGATAGTATACTCNTTATTGACTTTAACTGTAGTTCTGATTTCTTTTGATATTTTAATCTGATTCATACTCTTCAAAGTCGACTTCAACAGTCATGTCTTCTTCGATTTCTTCTTCCTCTTCTTCTTGCTGGATGTTCATAAATTGTTCAAATGAAGATGAATCAGCTGTCTCTTCATCGAAATCCCACGAATCTTCGTCTGTTGTATTCAATTGGACATTTGAACAAGACTGGCTTTGGCAAATAGTACACGCTGGAGAACACAGTAACCCTACTCTTCTACAGCCACCAGAGCAGATGGAAGTAAAGTTTGAATCGGTTCCAAAGTATTATCTGTTAATTTCCAACCCCAGTCTTCTGGATTCAGTTGATTGCCTACCCATGTCTGAACTTGATAGTATACTCGATACAAGTGTTGATTAGCAGAAGCCGATGTTGGAGGAAGACAAGATAGTTGTACTTGTTTCTTGTTTCGTGTATTTTTTACAGAAGTTAAATATCTATACTTATCTATACAATCAATTTTTTTTGGAGCTCCTTAACAGCAAGGAGAAAGCGAATTCCTTTTGTGATTATTGTTTGAGGTGAGAATCAATTTCTGCAATCAATCAAATCTTTTTTTCCAAATAATTTTAATACTGATGTTTTACTCCTTCGGAACATTGCTGATGTAGTATCGCAGCCGGTTATCGCATGTAAAAATAAGATATGGTTTTGGCATTTTGGATAAGCAGATAAACTTTTTGAAGAATATATTTTGGATTATTTGTGCGAAAGATTGATGGACTATCATTTGCAAAATAAATGTAGATGGGACTGATTAACAGTAAATTTTATTTGTTTAGGAAAAATGAGGGTAAATGACGCAGCTAGAAATAACAACTTACCCCTACCCTTAGGTTTAAAAACCCATAGAAATTCAATGCACCACAGATTCGGTACTTAGTGGTGGAATCAAAGAAGAACTTGTATCAGATCAACAAAGAAGCGGAAATATGACTTTTTCGGCAAAGTTAGAAGTTAATTAATGAGTATTACATTGAAGCCAGCAAAAAATATAATAAAAGAAAAAAAGAATAACTTAATCTGAAGATATGGTGTTAAGTGATTATAAAAAGATTTGTCAAGACCTCGGGAAATTGCCATGTTTTTGGACTTTTCCGAGTGGAAAAGCGGAGGAATCGAGAAAAGTCGCAGAGGAAAAGTGTGGTAGACTCGTCAAAACGAAGCTTCTCGCGAGTTATAAAGTATGTGGTAATCAACTTTTCAGGAGCCTGTACTGTGGACTATCTGTTTAGTTCGATCGTAACCAAATAATGGCTATTCATCGCTGTTTTTCTTAATAAACGTAATTTGTTTAGATAGCGTAAAATTTTGTTACTTACATATTGTTCCTTGTGTTTTTTAAAAAATTGTAGAAATTTAAATTGATTGTAGCACATGCAATGCTATCTAGTGAAAAAATCAATGGTGCGAGAAATACCATGCTTTGACAAAAAAGTAATTGAAAAGTTTATTTCGGACAAAAGCAGAAGAATGGACTGTCACTATAAAAAATAATGTTGAGTACATTATCACTGTATTTCAATAGTATGTGCTTCAAATAAATCTACCCAATTATATTTGATTTTTTTTTATACTAAATTTTTCCCAGTTTGTGGTATGAAAGTGAAGAGCACTGAGACTAACTTTTCTTATTTTTAATACACTCTTTGAGGCCTTATTCTTTTTCTTTAGCAGAGACCAAATTTTATTTAAAGAGAGATGATCTTTCAAATATACCTTTATTTCCTTCAGTTACAGTAGATTATTGGTTAATTGAAATGGGAACAGTATTATTAATACGTTCTCTCAGGTGTAGAAGATTGAAAACAAGGACACGGTGAACTTGATGGCGATTGGGACTGCGGTTGGCCATCCGGTCTGGCTGGTGTGGATGTAGCAACAGGATCCACTGATGCGAACGTTATATTGATGTTCACCTGCGAATCTGTCGTGTTAAAGGTACCGGTTGTGTTAAGATCCGGAGTCGGACCTGGTCGATTAGGGGCGGGACCTGGTCGGGTCATGGTTCTGTTGAGAGCCGATGGACATGGTAGGGCCATGGTTCTATTGATACCTGGTCCGGTAATGTTCATGGTTCTGTTAGGAGCCGATGGAGCTGGTCGGTTAACGTCCATGGTCCTGTTGAGGCATGCACCCGGTCCGGCAATGTTCATGGTTCTGTTAGGAGCCGATGGAGCTGGTCGGTTAACGTCCCTGGTCCTGTTGAGGCATGCACCCGGTCCGGTAATGTTCATGGTTCTGTTAGGAGCCGATGGAGCTGGTCGGTTAAGGTCCCTGGTCCTGTTGAGGCATGCACCCGGTCCGGCAATGTTCATGGTTCTGTTAGGAGCCGATGGAGCTGGTCGGTTAACGTCCATGGTCCTGTTGAGGCATGCACCCGGTCCGGCAATGTTCATGGTTCTGTTAGCACCTGAT